TATATATATTTACTTTGACACATGCAAGTTGAATACGCGCACACTCGAAAATCCTTTTTCGGAATTTCAATCACAAGTTTTAACTGCTTCTCATTCGCAGACTTCCGTTTAATTGCGATCTATTGTAGACCCTACGTCAATCAACAAGAATGTATTTCCATTTAGGTGATCAACTAATCTCGATGCTATTCGCCTTTTCTAAACCTAACAAGAAAACTTTTCAAACCTCTATGCAGTACGAACTTTTAATTATCTATAAAATATATTCTAATAATTTTCAAACTTAACTATATTTAACATTAACAATCATTAGTTAAATCTATTTCTTTCTTTACGATTAATAAATAATTATTGTTGTTGTTGATATTATTCGAATAAAAGATATTTCTTATGATATTAAATTTGACTGATACATATATTATTAAATTAAATCAAATATTATAAAATGCAAATGTTATATAAATATTTTAATAAAACGTTGTAACATTTTTTCTAATTTTCTTTTCTTTTCGTTTCCTTTGTTTTGTTTTGTTTCTTTTTCTTGACAAATTTAGAAGTGATAAAAATGGTTTCGTTATAAAAATACAAAATTCCGTTATCGATATATGACAAAATGGAATTTTTTCAAGATCCGGCAGCCCAGGTAGCAGATCCGGAAGTGCTGGTTCCGGTAGTCCTCAGCCACCACAATCTGTTGCAAATCAAAATGTCAACGTGGTACCTTCAGTGGCAACTGAAGAAGTGAAAAGCAAACCACGAAGTCGTAGTTTGATCAGACGTGCCTCAAGAAAAACGAAGCAACAAATTCGAGACTCTCATGCGGAAGATTGCAACATCTCTTAAGGCGATTTAAACGGGGATAAAATAAAAAAAAAAGAAGAAGAAGAAGAAAAAGAAGAAGAAGAAAACAAGAAAAAAAAAATAAATCACAAAAGTAAAGTAAAGTAAAGTAAAGTAAAGTAAAAGAAATATTAATTAAAACAACGTTACACGTATTAATTTCTAATTCGAAAAATAATCTAAAAGAAAAAATATATTAATATATAATTATATAATAATATTATTTATATATATATAACTATATATATATATTATATTTATTATATAAACCAACCCCCTACCCTCCCATAGCCTCCACCGATCGATGCGAAATAACATTATTAATGAAACGGATCTCAAATTTTGATGATGATCTGCAAGGAAAAGAAAGAAAAGAAAGAAAGAAAAGGAAAATTAAATAATAAATGGATAAAACGTAGAATAAGAGAAACACGAAAGAGAAACGAACAAAACTCCTCTTCTGTTATAAATTTTTTTTCTTTTTGTTTTTTTTTTTCGCTTCCTCGTTTTCTTTTAATTTTTAAAATACAAGGTAATTTATTTGATTTAAACATGAAGTTGGAAAATTTGCTTCTGACTATTTTGTTTTTACTTTTCTTTTTTCTCAGAGTCTTTTTTAAATAAAAAAAAGAAAAAAAGAAAAAATTATAAAATAAAGAAGAAAGAGAAAAATTTAGTTTTAAATATATAATATATATATATAATAAAAGTAGATTAAAAAAAAGAAATTAGAATCTAACTGGAATCAAAAAGAAATGATAGGAAAAGAAAAAGCTTACTTTAATAATCCAAATGGATTATGCATAATAAGCTTTCTTTTTGTTTTACAAAAGGATAATATATTATAATTACTACCTTGAGTATGTGTGTGTGTAAAATAAATGGTAACGACGTACGCAATTAAATGATATATACGGTGCGACAATAATTCTGTCCACCTTGAAAATCTTCTTTATCATATTAAATCCTATTAAAAAAATGTTTCAAAGGAAAAAATTACATTATTGCAGTAGAGCAATCTAATGGTGGAAAGGATTGTTTTACAAGGTCCTTTTTTTTTACGAAATCTCAAGATTATCGACATACTTTCTGTTTTCTTTTTTTTTTTCAACAACGTAAATGAAAAATCAAAGATATAACTGAAAAGTTAAATTTATCGAATTTGAAAAAAAAAAAAGAACGAAATTATTTACCGAACAATTTAATAAATATATTGATCAAAATACTTTGTAGAAAATATTGTTAGCAAAGATCTAATTAATTTAAGCTACCCTAAGCTTTGAAAAATCTTACTCTTATTGTATTGTTATAAAATATATATATATACAAGAATATTATTATATAATATTTAATAATAATAATAATAATAATAATAGTAATAATAATTATATTGATATTAATATTTATAATTAAAAAAAAAAAAGAAATATCTTCCGTTCGGTGCACAATTTTTTTCAACAAATTTCCAAACACGATCAATTTATAATATTAATATTTCTCTAATAATATCACATAAAATACAAATGATTATTAATGATTAATTAATAACGGAACGATCAATTAAACAAGATCGAAAACATATTCTTATTTATCTAATGATCAATGAAGACTGATCAACAGTGAGTTCGAGCCCTAAACTACAAAAACTTGACAACTATTCAGTTAGTCGTGAGCCGTCATCCTAAATTAGATAATTTTTAAACGTGCCATTTTTATGCCAGTATTAACCACTAATTAATTATTTAAATACGTGTATCATTCATAAATATATATTTAAATATTAAGATATTCGATGTTACGTGTATATACTTATGTGCATACAATTTTTCTTTCTAATTAATTATTTACATTTTATTTTAGTATTTTATTTTTGTATTTTATTTTTGTATTTTATTTGTCACACAACTTGGATTTAAAATTCAAAATAGAAATTTTCAGCTCGAGATATAAAATAAATTTATTAAAAATATCGCGAGCATGTTAACGCGTATAAAATTAAAATAAAATAAAGTGAATCTATATATATATATATCTATACATATAAGCACATAAATATATTTAATAATTAACCGTCCTATATATATATATATATATATATATTTGAAACAAAAATTAATTCGAAGAAGCTGATGAATACGAAAAAAAAAAAATTAAACGAGAACGTGAAAAAGAAAAATAAGATGAGTTAAAAGTATCGTAGAGATGAGATATTTAATGATCTCATTGTCGAATCACGAATACGCTTAAACGAATACGTGATAAAACGTTCTATATAATTACATATACACGTGTGTGTGTGTGTGTGTATGCGATTTTTCTACTTCGACATATTAATGCGATAGAAAAAAAATTTCATTTTATCGTTGTTATTTCGTAACAAAAATCTTCTATTCCCCCTTAATTCATTTATTAATATTTATATTCAATTATGTGTTCGTTTATAGAATTTGTTTAATCCAATATAATATGATTTGTTAAATGATATGAAAAAAAAGAAAAAAAATATCTTTATCGAACCATTTATATTATATATAATTGATAAACCCTATATAATGATACACACATGTATTTAAACAATCCCAAATAACGATTAAAAGGATATAATCGATGCTTCGAAAAACGATTCATTCCTAAAACACACACACACACACAAAAATAAAAAGGAGAGGAACCAAAAAAAATATATTCAAATATTGATCTGTTTCGTGTGTATCGTAACAAATGGAGATTAATCATAATTAATTACGATAAT